GCAATGTCTCTTTAGCTGTGTGCATGAAGGTAAAATGCTGAAAGAACCTTGTGCACCAAAGGGTGCCTGACTGCGTTTCGGATTCTGTTAATTAATACATGCACCTCTGAGTCGCTAGTTCACACATCTACGTAGGAGTCTGGTTCTGAGGAACATTTTGATGACCAGGAATGTGTTTCTTATGACTGAACTTGTGACTGGTCTATTACAAAGGTTTCATTAGCATGAGGCTAAGATGCCTTTGGCTTTACCACTAGTGAATAATGTATTCATTTGAAATTTGTGAAAATTTAGACTACATGCCATCAAGTGACTCTTTTTAACACTGGTACCCTTTCATATAGAGATGGAAAATGGAGAAAACCTTTCCAAAGGTATCTCAAGGTCACAAATTCCTCTCGAGGAACAGTTATTTTTTATCAAGACATGCATGTATCTTGGGAGTAAGAGTTAATTCTCAAAGGTGTGCACCCTTTGGCTCTACTAGAGCATTTAACAATGATGACAAAACATTAATGCTGTCACTGCCTTAATCACAAGAGAAATGCTTCAAAGAAATGTTTCAGGCTGTTTCTGAGACTGATCTCTAAAACAACAGAAGTGGGGGATGGGTTAGGGTTTGGGTTTGATGGAACTGAACTAATTTATGCGATATCAAAAAGAAGAGCTAACACTGTGGGAAACCGCAACCAAAAACAAACAGTGGGGAGAAAAGAGAACGAAGGAATGAAAACATATAATGTCTGAAAATCAAGTGGTAGTAACTTCAGACAACAAAACTGACTTACGTGAAGCTCAGTATTTCAGCTTTAATGCAGGAAAAATCCCAAGGAAGTCCAAAGCGTCTTGTCTACATATTGTTAGGGGGCTTTTTTGAAGTGCGAGTTATTTAATATTGCTGTAGAAGATTATGCTTAAGTTTATTTTCACATTTGATCAAACTACTAAATACAGTTTGACTTAATTTTATCATTTTAACTTTTAAGATTAAAATGTCATGTTTTAGATATTTTTTTTTAGGGCATTCAGGTTCTCCTGAATGTGGTTTCTGTTAAAGAGATGCTGAACTTCTCCGGGTTTTGGCTCATGTTTTGATTTCAGTTATGTTTGTGTTACTCCAGATGTAAGCCAATATAAACAGGATGAGAATTAGCCCCCTCAGCTTGATTATGAGAGAGAATTCTAATCAATTGGTCTGTCATCAGTAACTAAAGAAACTTTAAATGCAGATTTGTTTAAGAAATGGATACGGCATTAATTGATTTTGTGTTTTTGATATCCAGGGACTGATTCTTAATGGGGCTGAAACTATTCGGGGACATTTTAGTCTACACCACTGGTTCTTAATCAGGGATCCATGGCACCCTGGGTGCTTTGAGATCCTTTGAAGAATGCCATCAAGTGCTATTGGCTGTTAGTGTTGCTAGGTTTACAAACATGGTTCACCAGATAAATCTAGAGATTTCAAATAGAAATCCATAGTTGTGGTCTTTCTGAGTTCTTTGTGCAGAAAAATTGCTCTATTATTTTGTCATAGTCAAAAAAAAAAAAAGTGAAAACTAAGAGCTGGCATTTTTTCAGGGGTGTCTTGAGTCTATCTGGGGTTGCCTTGAGTCTAAATGATTGAAAACCGCTGATCTATACAAATTTGGAGCTCTCATAAGGGAAGTGAATCGCCAGGTAGAATTTGGCCTAGCATATTTTAGAAAGCAAAGTAACAATTCCACTGGCATAAAACCCTTCCATTTAATTTTGAAGTCTAATTAGACAGAGCACCAAGTGTCAGATATTTATCTGCTTGATATCCAGCATTGTGCTTACTTCAGTGAAGCTCCATCTGGCTCTGGCTCACTTGAAACCTGCTCCTTCTCTGAATGTTGTTTCTCTTTTTGGATGTCTGAGAGCTTCTTTGCTGGATTCCACATGCTCCCTATCAAGTCATTTGTGCTTGAACTGGAAGAAAAGTCTTCCCTCCAGCAAGTCTGGATGAAAGCTAGTGCTGTGCAAAATCAAAGATCTGCCACTAAACCCAGTAAGCTGTTCCCTGTTGCAGTTTATGAACATGACTCTCAAACATTGGCTGAGAAATGTCACAATCAGGCCTCATTAAAAACTCTAATTGCATGTGTGCGCTACATATTTGTAAAACATGCCCATAATGTTTCTATACAGAAGCCGTAACATATAATTCCCCAGCACAAAATTACAGCCAGTGAAATTGTTTGATAATCTACAAAGTAATTTAAAGCCTGATCTTGTTCCCAGTGACTTCAGTAGTAGGCTTGCCACAGATTTTGGTAGGAGCAGGAATGGGCAGTTCTAGACTAGGCAAAGACATTACACACAAACTGGTTTAAGTGATCAGAAACTGGTTTAAACCTGTAACAGAACAGATGTTTAGTGTACATAAACCAGTTTGAAAATGGCTGAAACCAGTTTAAGATAAACTTGGTTGCGTGTAGTAGCAGACTTAACTGATTTGGGTCAAACTGGTTTATGCTATGTCTGCCCCAGACCCCTTGCTGGTTGAAGTTAAACGAGACAACCCTGGCATCCCGACATGCTGTCTGGGCTGGGCAAGGCTCTCTGCTCCACAACAGGGCTGGCCCCTCCACTCTCCTCCATGGCTGCAGCTCCCACAGAGACTTGCAGGCACAGAGCATCTGCCTGGCTTCTCCCTGCTAAGCAGAGATTATCCCCTTCTTCCCTCTGCCTTACTTAGACACCTCAGCATTACCTAGCGGACCACGTGCTGGTTACAGTCCATGCTGTGGGAGAAGACAGGCGGACAGGCTTTTTCAATCTAATCAACAGGTAGCTTAATGCCTTTCCTTGGAAGAGCTGTTTAAGAAGAGCTTCATTAGTTAATGAAGAGAGGCTTTGTTTTCTTTATTTGCTGATAAACAGTATGTTAGAGGTGATAAGCGTTGCCTGCTGGGCTGCTCAGGAGGGGGGGAATAATCAGTGTGTTCTGCCAGGGCCTGACCATGGCCCCCTTAGCTCAGCGATGTGAAAGGGAAAGGAGGGCTGCTGTAGCAGCCTGTGGCTTCTAGCCTGAGCAAATGCAGGCATGTGCCTGCATGTCTGGAATGAAAAGAGAATGTCTATCCACCTCCAAACTGGTTCAAGCTTTGCAGGTTAGTCCCTGCAAAGACTGAATCAACTCAGGCTCATGTCTGAAGGTCTGTCCCTGGCCCTAGGGATAGAGGGATACAATTCTTCATACCGTTTAAATTTTCAGTAGCAAATAATTTACATTAAAGCAAGCATTAATACCTACCCTTTCTGCATGTTTGATTTTGTCAAAGTGACCAGATAACGTTTATTTTATTTAGGCCCAAATCTCTGTCTTGGTATGCAACTCAATGAAGTACAGCATGCAGAAGAAGGAACTGACCATGGTTTGTAGACCACATTCGCACTAGATGTTAATAGGCATAACTTCATGAACTCAAAGGACTGGTGCTGGGGCTAAGTTCAGCCAATGACTAGCCAGTTTTCCTCCATCTTTGTGAATCGCAGCCGAGGGAAGTACACTTCCATTATACTTAAATCACGTTTAGGTGGATATTTCTTCATTGTTCCATACACTTGGAAGGTTCTGCAAATGTACCTTTTAACAAACAACTGGTTCCTGCATGTCCGATGGCTAGACCTTTGTTAGTGTATTGCAAACAAATAAATTGTCGTATAGTTTCCATTTTTCAGAAGTTTTCCTTTGATCTTCGTTGAATTTGTCTCGTCAGTCAAAATTTGAATATGTAGTAGTTTGGATAAATAGGCTAACTGCTGACTAATTTATAACTTCTGGGAACTGGATGGGCTGCAAGGTAGAATGATCTGAAGACTTTTTAAACAGAAACCTAAACTTCAGGATGAACAGTGCTTATTTTGGTGGTCTGTAATCCATGAGCTACTATCTTGTGCAGCCAAGAAACAAGAATCCTATCTGGGCAAGCAGAGAGAGTCTGCTGGATTTGGCAGACAAAGAACATTTGTGCAGCTGAGGTTTTACTCAGATGGTTTGGCAGAGAGAAAGGGCTTGTTCAGCCCACAGTCAAGTCCAGGCAGCTGAAAGCTTAAGTTCAAATAGCCACAGGTAGAATTGTTGAACTCTAATGTAAGTGACTGAGTTCAGTGAGTGGTAGGCCTGAGAATAGCATGCCATTGCCGAGAGCTGTTCAAGAGACGGAATTACTTCAAGTAGAAGGAAGCTGTTAATCATGCAGTGGAAAAATCTAGTACAGCACTCGGCCTTGTTTACTGGTTTTTAACTTGGTGTATATACTGTTTAATCTACCCTTTGCTGATAACAGGGCATCTCAAGCTTATTAGAGATGCTTTTGGTATTGTTTTTGTTTGTGCCCTTTAAAGGGAACATTACAATTCAAGAACATATGTGTATTTGTGGGAATATTGCTTGATTATTGACATCACTTTGTATTTAAATTTTGATTCTTACATTTATACCTTCACTCGTTTGGTTTGTGAATACTAACCACATTTGGCAGATTGACCAGCAAAGCTATTCATCTTATTTATGTAAACTTTTAACTTTTCAATTTAGTATTGTATTTTTCTCCCAATACTCATTTTAGAGCTAATTCCCATTTGTTTCTGCACCCAGTCTTGACTCAAGACAACAAATACCAGTTTAGGCTCATAGCTAAACCTTGATGTTGACTTGAAGATTTAGCCTTCATCATAGCATGGCACTAAATCCCACATGAAGGTGTGGGCACCTTCATGTACAAGGTCTCATATTGTATTTGCATTCTTGGTAGTTGCTTTATTTGCAAGTCGTTGTAATATTTTATCTTCCACTGTACTTTGAATGGTTAACCTGTATGTCCAAACTGTTTGTAACAGAAATTAAGTTTATGTTCTGTTGTCTACTTTTGAAGAGCTGTTATTTTTAATAAAACCATTGAACACTAAGAATAAGGAATTTGGCAATTTAAAAAATCAACGTGACTTACATTCTGTATTTGTCCTTGTAGGTGATGGTGAATTAAATCAAGACTGTATACCATGCACTGGAGTAAGTACAATTTTCTTTTATATAGATATCAATTCTTCACTTTTCTGCTTCATGTTTTCAGCACAGTTTCTAAAGCAACTACATTCATAATATCTTAAGTGAAGAGATTCCACCTTAAAGGTTGAGTGGGGAAGTTCACTTTTTGTCTACCATTGTTAAACAGAATAGGGTCAAATTCAGGTGCAATTTTTGAGTTACAGTTCATATCTCATACCAGAACTAGAAAACAAAGTCCAAGTAATTAAACAAAAAGTTTAACTTCATTTGCATCTCCCATTTGTTATATATTTATTATGGAATGAACTTGTCATCAGAATTGTATTCAGTGTCTTGGTTTCGATTTGTTTTCCTACAATTTCACTATAAGTCTTAAATTTAGCTGTTAATACATTGCTGAGAGTACAGATTGGGTGAGTCTGCTTTAGGCAATTTAAATTTAAATCGATGGTCTTCAGCGTTTTTCATGCGCATCTTTGACATCCAGGTTTGGAAAATCTGGGAAAATATTTTTCTAGTGTGGGGGTGAGACTTCTTGCTGTACATGTATGTGACTTGCCTGCTAGAGCTCCTGTGACTTCATTAGTATAGGATCAGACCTGAAATCCAGATTTCATTGTGAAATGTACTTAGGGCTCAAGGCTGCTCCCACTGAAGGCAAGAGCAGCAGGATGAGCATTATATATAGTAGTTTGTTTCGTGTTGGATATTACATGATCTCTGTTCCCAGGTTTATTCATTGTCTGTTTGTGTGCTTGTTTACCTTGCCTAACTTTGATGTTGCATACATCTGCACAAGTAAAACTCATACCCAATAGGAGGACTCATAGTAGTAGTTCCTATATTCTGTACATGTCTTTAAGAGTATTTAAAAAGAAATATGCAAATCAATTAATAATCTGTTGAAACCAGTTCTCTTGTGTCTTTTAATCTTAGTTTTTATTACTCTATCTGTACTGAGTGGTTGCAGATGGCACATCGTTAAAAAAATATTTTCTCAGTTGTTCTCCTTTTCTAGATTTGAATAATGGAAATGTTTCTCTTGGGTTGTTTGTGTGTTGCATAGCATGCTAATTGAAGAATTTCTCTCTTTTTTGGAATTAGAGATGACAATGGATGATATAAATGACGTTGTTCTGTTAGAATTGGACCTGCTCCCTTTCAAACTGGCAGAGCTATGTAGATTTATGTAGATTTAAAAAAATATTTATGATAAATTTAGCTCTGCAACCTATTCCTTTAGTTGCCTGAAAGGGAGAATGTATTATTTGTAGAAAACTATTATTCAGAAAACTCTTGGTCTATTCCAGCCATGCAGTTGGTCCAATAATAAGGAGGGCCAACTTCGTTGAGATGAGGAGATTAGTGGGAGAGGCACTGGGGTCCTTGAGGGCAGAGGAACTCAGTGTCCAGGATGAGTGGTCGTTCCTTAAGGAAACGATACTCACGGCCCAAGGGGTGTCCATCCCGACAAGAAGCAAGGGGGGCAGGAGTGTCCGTAAGCCCCCCTGGCTCACCAAGGGCGTCCGGGA